TTTATATTAATATATATATGCCCCCCCCCCCCCGCAGACCGTGGCAGAAACGCCACAGACCGTGACAGACAAAAAATAGTAGCAACACAGACCGTGACAGACAACTTATGACGATCTCAAAATTCTGTTAAGCACGTACGAATCATCATAGATGCTCACAAATTACACAGATAAATATTAAATACGTGATACGCTCACAATTATTGCTTAGATATCATGATGAGTCTCAAAATAATTATCATACAGGGTCCTATTCTCTCAAAATAACCAACACACATCATGACAGTCTCTGAAATTGATCACCATACACTATGACAGTCTCAAAGATAACCATCGTAGGTACTAACAAGTTATCGCAAAATCTGTCATACGCATTAAAAAGCAGATGGTATTACGAACATCAACAGTGAAATTTTTGATCTTCAAAAGAAATTAAAAAATTTTAAAGAGCCTTAAGAATATATAACAAAGTCTGCCAGTTTTTTCTGACATTTATCTAACAAAGTACAAGTATGCATACAAATAAAATTAAATGACATAACTAACTTATATAAAATGGTAAATAATAATGTTTTGCAATGTTAGAAAAAAATTTAAATGCAATTTTAACTTGCAATCTAACGAAATCTATAACACAGATAAAAAGTCATAATTTTCAAAGTTGAAAGGTTACTTGAATAAAGAATAGCAAATTTATCAAACTTATTAAATAAAAAAATGCATAACGTGAAAAACTTACTCCACTATACTAATTAGATTGATTATTTTCCACAAGAATCAACATTAGAAACTTAGAATTCAAACAATGAACTAATATATCTATACAATTAATTTGTTATTCAGAATTTAAAAAACTAATCATCAAACAATAAATTATATAGAATTTTTAAATGTTTTAACTACTATCGTTTACATACGACTATGTCTCACTACCATCAATTTTTTCATGTTCCACTTCTTCCTTTTCTGTTGAAATTTTTTCACGAACAGCTTTTTGTTTTTGACGCTTTAACGCTTTATGTATTCGATCTCTTTCCATCCGATGCCTTTTTTCATCTTCAGATAGATTCAATCTATACCGTTTTTGACGTTTTCTATCTGTTTCACGTTTCTTAATCAAAGAGCGGTTCTTTCGTTTCGCTTGTTTCTGTGTTAATACATGAAATTTTGTACGTAAACGATGTTCTCGTCGTTGATTATTGACTTTAAGTCTATAAGTTTCTGGACCAAGTTGTTTTTGACGCTGTCTTAATTTTCGCGTTCTACGTGCATGTCCAATGAGAAATGTATCTTGCATGATTGAAAATAATATGAAATTTATAATAATAACGAAAATCAAAAGAGAAATGTATAGAAAATAATATTAATAAACGCGCCTCATTCATAAAATGTAGAACGATTGTTGTTCTATAAATCATTAATTATATGATTAATTAATTAACCAAATTACTACACTATTAAATCTAATATTTTAGCAAACAAATAAATTTGGCATAAAAATATTTAGAAAATTAGATTTTTCACTAACATTCTTACAAATGGCTAGAAAAAAATCTGACAATAAAAAATGGAAAACGAGACCATCTCGTAAAAAAAGTAGCAATCGTAATAAAAAGCCAAGTAAAATTCGAAAAAACAATTGCAAAAGATCGGGTACTAAAAATCGTTTAAAAAATGTAAAAGAAGATTTAAACAGCGTTATAACTAACGATCGGCTAATTGAAGAATACTTATTAACAGAAGAAATATTTGACACACGCATAGTACACGATTTTCTTACTGAAAGGTGTAATAAATAAAACTCTCAATAGTAAATATTTTTATATGAATTTTCCAATAGATACTTATCAGAAGTTCGACAAGTATGGCTTCCTTGTCAATGTTGTAACTGCGAACATCCATCTCACAATATGCAACCAGCAAAAGAAGATCATCAAAACTATCATGATTGTATTGCTGGCGAAATGATATGTTCATTTTGTTATCATTATAAACCAAAAGACGAATATACCATTTGTCCACATGCACGTTTTAAAAATCTATTGGAAATTACCTCAGTGCCTTTGTGTTTAAAATTAGGTTTTCTCGAGCAAAGAGCTATTGCCTTAATGCATTGCTATATGAGTATTTTAATTATTCGTGGTCATCAATCAGCAATGAAGGGACAGGTAGTACATTGTCAAGCTGATGTTGTCGACAATATAGGTGATCTATTACCATTTCCTAAATGTTATGAATTCATGGCAGTTATTCAACAAAAACCAAGTGATCACAATGGTGAAATAAAAGCAACAGTGAGATATTCAGTCAGTGCTATTCAAATCTTGCGTGCTATTCAATATCTTATTAAACATCACGTTGGGTATATAAATAAACAAGTTCTATCACTTGAGAAAATTCAAGAAATGTTTGAGTGTCGTAAAGAAGAAATCGCTCTTATTAGAATTATAGATTCATATGCTTATAATAATGCTACAACATCTGCACCAATTATTTTAGATAGTGATGAAGCTTTACTCGGTCCCAGGTTTAAAATCATTTAAAAAAAACAGTACATATGTTGATATATTTAATAGTCGTACTCTTAAAGCAGGCGAGGATCTAATTTGGCAACTTCAATCTGGAATGGAAGAATCTACTTTTCCATGGATTTATCCTACAGGAGAAGGAGGTGAACTTGATCGTAAACGACCCATTTCATTAAAAATTCGTGATTATTGCAAATTACGATTAATGTCTGCTGATAAAAGATGGCAAGCTGATCCGATTTGGACATTTAGAGCGATGAATCTTATTCAAAGAGATGATTTGTGTAGTGCTGTTAATTATCATGCAAAAAAATACTATAAAAAAGATAAATTATGCTATAATATATATCCGTGTAAGTTTATATTGAAATATTAAATGATTTGATTGAATCCAACTTTTTTATTGACTCTCCTCTAACTTATGTAATATAATCAAAACTCGTGGTTTAAATTATTTCAGCGAATAAAAATGTTTAAAAACAACAATATTCCTAGATAGAAAATAAATAAATCTGATTTAGCGATTGGAAAAGCTGTTCGAGGCACAAGTGCTTATTGGTCAACACCTAAGAAAATACTACGTGCTATGTATGCAACTTTATCTAAGCCTAATATTTTCTTAAGTATTAATCTACAAGATGATATTGAATTTTTAACACATATTGATGAAAGCCGTTTCGGTAATGTTAATAATCCAAATTATCACGAAATCGATAATCTTTCTGACGATGATTATTTACAACTTGTAAACGAAAACAGTGCACTCATAGCACGCATGTGTCACCGACGGATGCTAGCTTTTGAGAAATTTATCACGGACAAGAGACATCCATTTTTCATCGATTATGCTGTTGCTAATTATTTTTTTAAAATTGAATTTCAACGTGGTGGTCTTCCACATTTGCATACTTTGCTTTGGCTTAATAATTTTCCTAATGTTGACACATTAGATGGACGTAAAACTATTATTGAATTTATCGATAACTTTTTAACAACCTCATTACCAGATAAACAAACTGATTTAGAAACACATATGCTTGTGAAAAAACATCAATGGCACATTCATACATTCACATGTTCTAAAGGTTGCTATTTTTTTTTGAAACCGTTAATCATCCTTTAATTCCATTAGGTAATGCTAAAATTCGAATACGTAGAGGACGAAAATTCAAAGATGAACAATCATCAACACTTGCCAACGAAATTCAAAATAAAGATATTAATAAAAATTATTTACACGAAAACGAAATATATGAACAAGTAGACCCAAATAACGATCCTGATATAACACAGTTAAGAAAAGAAAAAAAAAAGAGTTTTTTGAACAACTAAACTGTCGGTTTGGAAGTCCTTTCGAATTGGCTACAGAAACACACTTTCGTACATATAGAGAAGCTCGCATATTAACAAGAGCCGATCGAGATATTATTATAAAAAGATTAACTGAAGAGGTAAGATTAATTGAATCAATTCAAAATTAGTCCAACATATATATAATTTCCATTTTTTATTTTTTTATATGATATTCAAGACGAATTATTCCTTACAACTTACACTTTTTAAGAACATTTCGTTGTAATCACGATATTCAAATTATTACTGATCCATGGGCTTCAGCTGAATATTTATTTTCTTATTTATCAAAAAATGCACAATTGGAAAAAAATTTAGTCTATCAAATGTCAAATTGCACTTGCTCAAGTCTAGCAGAAGCTAAAAGTGTTCTTTTAAAAACAGGTAATGCAATTTTATCTCATCATCAAGTTGGCAAAGTTGAAGCATCATGGACTGTACTAGGTAAATAATTTTAACAACCGATTTAGATAATTTTTCATTAAACATCATAGGAATTCCTTTATATCACTCATCAATCAGATGTAAGATACTTTATATATCACTACCATGGGAAGAAGAACGAATACATAAACGAGGTCGAACACAAGTAATTACTACAGATGATCTCGTTGAAACACTAACACATAAATATATAAAAAGACCGTCTATTCCATCTGTTATTGATAATATGACTTTATTTGAATTTTTAACTTGGTTCGATTACGACGGATCTTCATTAAATAAGGAAAAATTCTAAATGAACCAGTTGTAGAAAATCCTCTTTGGCGTCATGATTTTGAACAACCACCATTACTTCAAACTGCAAATCTTCTACCTCGAATAATTTTATCGTCTGGTTCAATCTTAATTCAACATAAAAAACCAGCGTGTATTAGTTTTCATTGTCATACTGATGATCCAGTTCGTGCTATATATTCAATGCTTTCAATTGGTATCCAATATCGAGATCCAATAGAACAATTTTTAGGTGGTAAACAAGGTAATCATTAAATAAGTTTAACGAAATTTTTAGAAATTCGAAACACTACTAATTCACTAGATAATGATATTAAAACAATTCACGAAACATTATTGAAATACAAATCTAGCTTATTAGAAAGATTCAACATATTACCGGCAGCATACAAAATACAAATGATTAATGCATTAGAACGTTTATGTGATTTAAATGCTCACGACTTCGTTACCAAATCAAGAGAATCATTTATTTTTCTAGACGAAGAAGATGAAAATACAGAAGATGGGACAAAAGATACTATTCACCAAAATAATTCCAAAAAAAGTGCTGTTTCTACAACAAATAAAGAAAAGAGTTTAACAAACGATGTTACTAAAAATGAAAGAGAAAATTTTTTGAATTCAAACAAGCTTCTAACAAATAATACATATACTCCAACCGAACAACTGTTAGCTTCAGCAAACTCAGAACAAATTTTCTTAGCAAATTTTTTTCGACAATATCTCGGAGCTTTAACGCAATATGAAGATTCTCGTGAGCGATGTAAAAATGTAACGAAACCACTTCCTTTTCATATAGTAATAAATGGCTTAGCTGGCTCCGGAAAGTCTTATGCAGTATCTATTATTGAACAAATGTTAACGGATTTTTGTATTAGTGAATCAGCTGTTCGAAATCGTCCACGAAAAAGAAAAGGATTACTTAAAATGGCTCATACAGGCAAAGCTGCATTAAATATTCATGGTTGGACTATTCATACAGCTTTAGGAATGGTAAATTTCTTTAAACATCTTTATATTTAAAGAAGTTAATAATATTACTTACTTATAGCGACCAGATAATTCATCAACTCCAAATGATGCAACATCTTTTAAAATACATTCATTAAAAGATGGTCTTGGGGATTTACTTTTAATTATTATTGATGAAATTTCATTAGTGTCACATAGTCTGTTTCAAAAAATTAATAAAAGGTTAAATCAAATCTTCAATGTATCAGATAAAAGTAGTGTGTACTTTGGAAATATTCCAATTTTACTATTTGGCGATTTGGCGATTTGGCTCAATGTGAACCAGTAGCCGCAAAACAAATATTTTGGGAGCCTCCAGGTGAATCATTTTCTCTGTGGTGTGACTTGTTCAGACCAATCAATTTTAATATTAATATGCGACAAGGAGATGATCGTTTATTTTTTGATATACTTTATCGGATTAGACTAGGTATGTACATTATAGTTATAGAATAATTAAGAAAATACTACTATTTCAGGTCAATACACAGACGAAGATGAAATCATAATAAAAAACAGAAGTATTCGAGAAGAAGATAACCCAAAACATTATCAAGAACGATTAAATGAATTGAACTCTTTAGATTTTGCTAATGCTGTATACGCATACAGTGTGCGTTCTAAAACAAATGAAAGAAATTGTTTTAAATTAAAAGAGATTACAACTAGACTAAAAACAACAGTATATATTATTCAATCGATAGACGTAAATTTGAAATTTAACAGTATAACTACTGAATAAAAACATAAATTTAGAAAGTTGGCATGGCTCGTACTCTGTTTTTCAAACCATTACAAGCTACCAACAAACAATGTAAAGTTATTTTAAAACCATCAGATGACGAAAATGAGTGTGGTTCAATGCTCGAACAACTACAATTGTGCATAGGCGCACGCGTAATTTGTCGACGTAACATAGACTTTGATCAATCGATAGTTAATGGCACTGAAGCAACTGTAAAGAATATAGTTTGGAACAACGATGATGACATTATCTTACCAATATCAAACAAATGTCTGTTCCCATATCTACAACGAGCACTACGGGTTACACTACCGAAGTATGTCGAGTTAGGTATAATACATGTCCTAAGATGTATTTCAAAATCATTTTCTTTATTATAAGAACTGGATAATGGTTCCATATATAAGATGACTCCCGAAGAAGTAAGCTTCAAAGACAAAAATGGAATTTGGATGACACGTAAACAACTACCTCTGAGTCTTGGCTATGCAATCACAGTTCATCGCTCACAATGTATGACTTACAACAAATTAGTGATTGACCTTACTGGTATAAATTGGAAACCGGGAATGTTTTATACTATTTTAAGTCGTACACGTAAATTAACAGATATTATAATTTTAGCATACAATCGTAAATCATTCAAAGTGAGTTACTTGTATACAGCAACTAAACATCAGATATTCTGTTAGGTTTCAAAACCAGCACTAAATGAAATGCTTCGATTACAAAAATTAGAAGAAAATTATCCGATTAAAATTGAAGACTATTTAAGAACTGAGGTTATTTTTAAATTTATTTTATACTATAAAAATGTACATAAATTTATAGAGATATATTGATTGGAATTTATCACAATCTTTCAAATTGACTGAACCAATATCAAGCATGCGTGAAAATGATATGATTACGACTTCAGGTTCGGGTGATAATAAACGATTGAAATATGAAGAATCAATTATTTCCAAAAATCCACTATCAAGAAAACCTGAACATATAATTTCTATGCGAAGAACAAGAACAAAACTATTGTGGACGTCATGCACTTCGTGCATTAACACAAAATATGGATTTATTTAGTGATTCATATTTAATAGAGATCGCGAAAAATTTAGCGATTAATGTGCAAATAATTCGAAATACACAATCGGTAAATATTAGTCAATACACTTACAAAGATAGTGGAGATTATGACATTCAAATTTTGAACTCTGCTCTTTTAAATATTTTTAATATTGAACTCATACAAATTCACAATATAGAAATAACAACTTGCCCTCTCCGAAGTATGATCTTGTCTAATACAGAACTAATCCAAGGATTTCTTATTCAACAAAATTATCACTATTACTGTTTACGTCGATTTCGCTTAACAAAAGAAGTTTTTTTCAAAATTGATTCTAAAATATCAACCTACCACGAACGTATTCCGGCTCATTATATATTGGATTTTATCAAAAGGCTTTTGCAATGCAAAGCGAATATATACATACCTATTGAACACTTGGAAACTGAATCAACTCAAGAGCTCTCAATTGAAAAATTAGCTAAAAGATTATGGATTTTGCATGAATCACCAGCCGATTTAGAACCTTTAGCTTGTTCATTTTAATTCCAAAAAAATAAATATTTCTGTTCGAACCATTTTATTGATAGCTATATATTCCGATTATTATTTAATTAAAAAATCATCATGGATTCTATCTTTATCTTTTTAATAATTAATAAAATTTAACAAAAACATTTAATCAAGTTAAAAATATATTTCATACTAATATCACTTTATCAAGATTTTTTATTTCACTATGCTTTTAATTTATTTTGAACAAAAAAATCAATTATCTACAAGACAGATTTTTGCGCTTTTCAAATTCAAAATTTATTTTTCACTTTTAAACATATAATTTTATATTAATTCTCTAAAATATCTGTTCCAATTCATATAAAATCTAATGAGTTTACAATATCTACCGCTATTACCAAATGAAATCATGGAATGTATAGCTGAAAAACTATCTGGAATCGAGCTATTTAATTTTACAGTAGGAAATACCGAACAGCTTACTATATCAAATCATCATCTAATCCAATTATTGCATTCAAAATCTATCCTACCCCTTAAAAACGAAATAAATCTATTAATCAATATGTATAAATCACCATATATAATCATTGACAACAGCATTAGCGTTTCGATGTCTTCATTAAGATGGAACAACTTTGTGTATGGAGCTTTTCAATTAAATGTAATCAAAAAATCATTAAAATATTATTCAACAAATCTATTTTTTTTATATTCTCGACTATGGTCATTTACACCATTTTACTATGAAGCATCTTATCCAACAGTCGATCTATTTCAATATAACTTACAAGTATGAGAATTTATTTTATTTGCCTTCGAACTTCCAATAAAAACAAAAAAAACCTCCCAAATAATCATCATATTGCATAACAACCAATATCAATATATTTTGTATTCCGCTACAAGGAAAACTACCATAACCTAAAATTTCCCCCAAAAAACATTTTTATTCTGTGAGCATATAGTATAAAACGTCTTCTATTTTATAAAATGACATACAGAGACTACTAATCTACCTATTTCATAAAATCCTGTTCAAGAATTTTAAGCTTTAATATATATTTAAATAGATCTTATTGAATGGCGTCCATTATCACTTGAAGAAAATGGCTTATTTAAAGTTTTGGGAACTAATCAATCTGCACCATCAATTGTTTCAAACTTTAATCAATTTCTTGAAAACTTTGTTTCAAAATATGATTATGATTTATGGAAAGATTTAATCGATTGTAATTTATTTATCGTTGCCGGAGGATCAATCGTGTCATCTTTATTCGTTGATCATCAAAAAGAAAATACGTCAGATATTGATCTATTTTTTTTAAAAGAAGAAACACATTTATTCAAAAAAGCTGTAGTAAGATAATACTGAGTTTCTTGATTGATGAAACTACCTATAAATCTTGATTATATATAATATTCATCGTTTTGCATGACCTTACTCAGTTAATGTTTGAAGGAAAAAATTTAACTAAAAAAAACTGATTTGTTATAAAATAGTTTTGAACATATCTTAAAAGATTTAAAGGATATGCTGCTCTATATTCAGAATAAATAGATCTAATGTATTTTATGTACCCTATAATTCAACTCTGACTATTTTTGAAAAATTCAGAATCAATTAGAAAATCGTTTACAAGACCGTTATTTCGTAAGAAGAAGAACCAAATGGCCAAATAAACTCATACAATTCGATCTATTTCGAAAGTATACAATTAGTGATATTTTGAACGGCAAAACATTTATACCAACAGCCATTATTCAAGTAATTCATCCAACTATGTAACCTATTAGTATTTCAAGAATTCTTCATGCATTCGATCTCGATATATGTTCTGTTGCTTTTGATTCAAAAACAATAATTACTACTTTTGCAGGCATACAAGCTCTGAACACCGGTCATACTACTTGTTACACTGTTCCAATTTCTAAATCAAATTATATGAGAAGAGTGCCACGTTACAGAAAATATTTACAAAGAGGATTTAATATTCTTTTTCCAACAGAATTCGATACGAACACACTGTATAACACTATAATTGAAGATTGTAAAGAAAACACAGCCGAACGAACTTGTCGCTTCAGAAGAAAAAATTTCGGAGACAATTGTGACTCATTTTTTATTCAAAAAACATTTTGTGAAAAATATAATTTAATATGATTTTTTGTTTAAAGATATTAAATATCTTTTTCCTAATTAATGTAAAATACTGTATTTTTTCCGAAAAATATCCAAACTTTTATCTGTGAATAGTTTATTTGTACTAAAATATTATTTCGAATATGTTTTTCTGAATTACATGAGTCTCCATTACTAATATATCTATGCATAATATCAATGCTTTATAGAATTTTATCTATCAATATTACTTAAAGATCTGATATCATTCAAATTTAATTAATTTTTCGTTAATTAAGCAGAAACGCTCCATAAAAACGCAAATGTTTAATTATTTTGAAACCTCAAGCCATCCCAGGTCGAACGATCTGACTATCGGATCCCGTCGGAAACCCAAAATAATCCGATATTTTCCGATAGGAAGTTATTGAGTGTCGGATCCGACGACAGGTTTCCGACAATCGGAAAATGTCGGAAAGCCTAGGATCCGATGACTTTTTAATCATTGATATTAATAAGGTAGGCAACTTTCAACGTTGTGCTTGACTTGCCACGATTACTTTGATCGTGAACTTCTGTATTAATATGAAACAGACATAAGTCTTTTCGATTTTATTTATATCAAGACTCTGTTCACATTAGAATGTTTTAATTACACAAATCAAATAACACACAGAGAAAACAAATTGACAAAATACTATTCCACATAAACAAATGTTTGTGTACAAGGGAAAAAAAGAAAAATATTATCGTTGGGGTAAATCTCACAAAAGCTAAATTGCTGTTCATAAATTTTGATGGCGAGATTAATATTACGGTGATTCGACCGGGTTGTCTTTACTTCATTTCTTCAATAGTGAGCAAATTAATATTGTTACGCATCTAAAAAAATATAGAGATTGAAACATATTTATATTTAAAAAGAGATCTACAACGTTATTTTCAGTTCGGTATATCCAGGTTCACAAAAACTTTAATATCAGTCTATATGAGTAAGAAGCAATAAATTATGTATTATCAGGAAAATGCTTATAAACTTACGTGCATCAAAAAGAATTTCGTCTACATCCTAAAAATTGAGAGATTTTCTTCGAATAACATCCTCTGAGCAGTATTTTCTTTTAAATTCTATTTTCAAACAGAAGCATCGGTGCCAAAAACTTATCGCTACAGTTTAATAGACTTACCATATGATAAAAATTTAGGCATAAAATATTAGGTAAATAAAACATTAGTGAAAATTTTTTGATACATTTTCATCATGAATAATCTAAATGAGATAAAGATAATGAACTTTTTTTACGATACGATAGAAAAAATCATACATACAACCCAATTGAATTAATAAAATATTCGTTTGTAAAGTATGTCCGGGCATACCACAGCTCAATCGTATACGAAATTTATTTATAAGTACGTACGTATCTCCCAAGCAAACCCCTATTCAATTGTATAATACACGTTCATGTTATCTTCATTGTAAACATTGTTCTCTTGCTTCACTAATAAAATAGCGTATCGACAAATGTCGCACCATCGAATGCCATAGGATCTATTTAATGCTTGTATGCATTGACAGGTTTAGATCAATTTTGATTTTATTGTGTATGTTAAATCTAATGTGATATTCAATTTGTACACAAATTGCAAAAATATTATTCTCGTAAATTAATATAAGCTGAGTCGATGTTGTTATTTAAATGAATAATTAATTTTTTTTTATTTTTGAATGTTTATTTCGATCTTGAAGGACAAGCAATCAAAGATGTTGAATCAATACTAAACTTTGAACTTTTTAGAATATTATTTCTTAGAAATATTGTTCAATAAAGTTATCGGTTCTTGTCAAATCCGACGGGTTCCTACCGCCGGAAGAAGGCGGATCCTGCTGTCGGAATCCTACTGTCGGAAAGTGGCGGAAATCAAAGGATGACGTCGTATTCCGGCTATCGATACCCGATAGGATCCGATTGTCGGATTTCATCGGATTAACCATGGTTCCTACAGGATCCTGTCGGAC